AAAAAGTAAAAAAGTTCCCTGACCCCTGAACTAAGGTTAGTGAGCAATCATTATGCTCCCAAATTTGAATTTATAATTGTCTTTCTACGCAAGAGCTGGCAAAGGATGTCTTTCACATACAAACCGTTGGCCACCACAGCCACTTGTAAAATTGCTGGCATGGGCACAGACCATGTTGACAAGGTTTAATTGGGGCTGGTTGATTCCATAAACCTTAACATGAAAAAATAATGATAGAATCTTCTCCTAGATTCCTAAATGATTCCCATCTTCTGTATCTCACATGATAATGGTCAGAAACAGGATGGGTAAATGCCATATTCCAATTCTCCAAATCCAGGTAGTCTAATTTCCATGCTATGCAAGGAAGACAGCCATATGCAAATTAGCATCTCATACAAATGAAACACATCAATTTTGTTTTTTTAAAAAACTACTACGTTCTCCCTTGACTTTACGTCATACAAATGAAACACATCAATTTTTTTTTTAAAAACTACTACGTTCTCCCTTGACTTTACATAGTAACCATTGGCCTGAGACAGCCTTAAATACAGAAAGTTTATTAATCTATTAGCAGTTTTCCCCTTAGCCCAAATGTTTAGTTTTATCACAACTCCCATAGTTCTTACGGATTCATTGCTTTCTATGCACTGTTGTCAGACAACTCTGTAAAACAGACTTGGCTGTTTGCCAAACAATTAGGACCAGGCTGTCCCAAAATCCCAACATTTACTTGTGAACTGGGAGAGCATAACTTTTTAACTTTTAAATCTATGAAACTGTCAATACCTTTACCTGTTCAATAATTACCATGAACACTTATTTGGGGAATTTGGGGAGGCCAAACTAATAGCATCGCGCTTTGCTTTCTATCTCAGCTTCTATAAGAACTAGAGACCTACTATTTTCAAAATGAAAGCAAGGAATCTAAACCAGCTGATTTTCTAAATGGGCACTAGGCAGAATAAATAGAAACTGGGTAAAATCCTGCCAACCTGATAGTATGGCAAATCTACTATTTGTTAAGTATTCTGGGGTGCAAGTGCCACCTGTCTGCCCTTCAAACTCAGTCACAGAAGCTCTGGCTACACCATGTAAAAAGTATTCTATATTGTCCAGATTTCTTATCATTTACCAAAATTAACCTGACATTTTTGCTGGTGCCTGAAAACTTCAGTGTAAACACCCTGTCTGCTACTTTGTGTGTTATGTTTAATTTCCTGGCACACTCCTGTCTGCCGCTGACAGTAGGAGCCTCCCTGTGTGTGTTCCCTTCTTGCTTCTACCACAGCCAAATTCCAGTTTCGAAAGTGCCTTCCAACAGCAAGTGGGAACAGGAACAGCACAGGGACAGTGAAAGAAAAGGCAGGGCCAGGAGCATCTTCAAAAAGGGCATCCAGAAGTTTAGGTTCCCATCTTTGTTCTAGGGGATCCCATCACTATCTCACCACGTTGTGTCTTGTACAAACAGCAGACTAATGACATTTTTACTCAATTCTTCCTCAAGGGAACCCAGGTAACATACTAGCTGCTCTCTACTCTTAAACACAGTATTTTCCCTCACAACCATCTATTAGTTAGCTTGGTCTGTGATTAATCCATGATCACCAACTGATGTTCCTGACTATGGGGATTTAAACTTGGGTCCCCACCCTCTCAATCCCCATCAAAGTCCAACACTTTAAGCTGAGGTCTGTTGAGACACTATTCTGAGAGGGATATCTGGCTTTATTACTTTTGTTTCAGCCACTTTTATTTATCTCCACCATGACTACCTTAATGATTATTGCAGCCCTCTGTTTGTACCAAATAAACAGAAAAGAAATAAGAAATATAAAAAAGAAATGTGCTTCTTTTAGGCTGGATCATATACTAAATACTAGTCATGTTAACAGTATGTATGAGTTGGTTGTTCACACGCATCTTAGCTTGAATGGACTGGCATAAGAAAATATTGACATGTGACTGCTCTGGAACAACTGAGAACATTTTCCCTTAAGGGGAAAAAAAGGGTGGGAGCAGGGGGGGGGAAGGGATTAGGATGGATGCCAGCAATAAGTACTTCCAGAGGTTTTGCAGACAGTATGTAGGCTGGTAAGTATTTTCTGTCCCTAGTACGTTTATTCCAGTACAGTATGAGGCATCCATCCTGCCCTCCTCCTTATCAACCCCCTCCAGTAACATTTCTTAGAAATTTCCAATAGCTTGTTATATTTTGAAAAACAATGCTGGGTGTGGGTTGTGTTACAACCGTATCTAATGCAAATACTCTGCTTGTTACTGTGTTTAATTAACCTTGTTTTCCTTTGCTCTTCAACAGCAGTACAATCAAAATTTGCCATTTATCTCTTTCTATTAGCTAAAGAATTAATTTGAACACCTACACCAGAGATTTTATCCTGAAGAACCAAGCGTTATTTATTTTCAGGCCTTCACCACAGCTGGCGTGCACACTATGTGAGTTGCCTTCTGTTGCTCAGCCAATGCGCCCCACGCTGTTAATAGCTGAATCACAGTCTGTATGTTTGGACCACAAGAAGACAGCATCTCCTCACTCCTTTGCATACATAAAATCCTAAAGGTCTTGTGCCCTTTCTATACCCTATGCTGGAAAGGAAAAGGTGAATTTAACCAAGTGCAGTGAATTCAATTTTTTTCCTATGTAACGTGGGAAGGTTCTCAAGTATGACTACCTCCTCCCTACCAAAAAGTCTCTGCTGCTGAACAGATGACAGCTTCCCAGACTGTCTGATTAAAGCCTGGAGCCTCTAATCATTTCTAAGGAAAACCACAAGTCATTTTTCTTACTGCTATCTAGCTGCAAGACTGGGATAAAATGAATCAGATTGACTACTTACAATCTACTATCTATTCAAGGTCAGGAATCAAGAAATATTAAAATACCACTGACTCCGTTGCTGGGAAAGCAGACTATCCCAACTAAAAATTATAGGTCATATAACATACCCAAGAAAAGTATGTTCAACAGATGTGAAAAGATTTAAACTGCTACAGCATATAAGTAGTAGCAATTTGTGGGGGAAGTGTAGTAATTGTTTAGGGTAGGTGGTGTCATATTTTGTCAGAAGCCATAGTATCAACTGTAGGTAAATAGAGAAATGTACACGCTGGTGATACTGGACTTCAAGAGAAGATCTTGATAACAGCAGTAAAGTACAGTAGTGCCTCGCATTACGAGCACTCCGTTTGACAACGAAATCACATTACGACGAAGATTTTGCAATCGCAAAAGTGATCGCAAAATGATGTTCCCTATGGGGGAATTTCGCTTTGCGATGATCGGTCCCCTGTTTCGCTAACCGATTATTGCAAAGCGATGATTTTCGGCCAGCTGATCAGCGGTTTCAAAATGGCCGCCGGATGAAAAATATGGCCATCTGCTGTTTTCTGGCACAGATTCCTCGCTGCACGGGCAGCGAAAATGGCCGTGCTATGAAGAATCTTCACTGGACAATGAGTTTTAAGCCCCTAGGAACGCATTAATTGGGTATTAATGCGTTTATATGGGCTTTCTAAAATCGCATGACGACGTTTTTGTTCGACAGCGATTTTTTCGAAACAAATTAACGTCGTCATGCGAGGCACCACTGTACAGAGATACCTCAGCTGAACATGCTGACTTGGAAAAATCTGGAAAGTTACAGGAAGCTCAAAGAATCAGGGAAGGATGAGGCACATGTTTGAAAACATACTGCTGATCACTGCAGGAGCTGCAGTACAACTGGCCTGAGCATCTCATGTATGGAGCAAACACTACTTATCTTTTTTTTTAAAGGACCATGTCAAAAGAAGAACAGACAATGGTGGATTTTTTTATATAAAGGTTCTTATTTCAAAAATGTGGAGTAATGTGCTAGAAACAAGCATCGAACATATTCATGCTCTCATCCCCTCCCTTCCATCTTTTTGCCTGCCTAGCTCAATAAAACCCTTCAGGGTTCTTGAGAGAACCTGCGTTTATTTATGCAACAATGGACTATAGCTTATTGGAGCAGTAGTTTGCTGGATTAGTAATAAGCACAAATGGGGACTCAAGTCGCGGGACTTGCTGCCAGGTCGGACTTAAGTCGCACCAGTGACTGGACTTGACTCAGGGTTTTTGTTTTTTAATGCCTCAGATTCAACCTATGACTTGGAACCCACCCACCCCTCCATTTTTTCCTGGGGGAAAATTATTTTTTTAAAAAACATATTTTTAATAGGGACTCGGTTTGGGGGTTTGGGACTTCGAACTTGTTACCAAAGACTCATACTCATACTTGGAACTTGGTACCAAAGACTCGGACTTGGGCCCAAATATTTGCCAACATCCAGTAAATCCAGGACACAGTGCTGTGCCCTCAGCAAGTCCAAACAACACCAAAAGCATTCCTCATCACCTCTCCCCACTGGCTTTGCCAATACAGTATATCTATCTCATATCTAACTCTGATATGGATCCTTCCTGATTATCATGACTAGAAGATATGGTTAGACAAGTGTATTTTCCACGTGTTTATGTCTGGGGTTACATTTATGTGATGACATTCCTGTTACATCTAGCCTACCACTCAGTAAGACTATGCGTGTGTGCCATTTCCTCAATATATGAATAATTGGCTACCATTCCTTTTTCTTTTCTGAAGAGTCTCCTTTTCACCCAAATGTTCTACAGGCCTGATCCAGCTCAGCTAGAAAGTAGCAAAGCTTAAGGGGTGCCTTCTGTCTACTTGAATATACTCAAAGCAGATCAGCTTTCATAAGAACAGCCAAAGGTGAGTTATTTCTGGCTCTCAAGCTAGTTGCTACTTCCAACAATTAGTTCAGTGATTTTGCTTTACAAGTCACATAAAATACATTTGCTAGCAACTTGAGGTTTATATCCCTGATTAATTCCTCATGTTGCTAATTGCAGAAACATATATATCTGGCTACAACGTTCTAGTTGCCATGCAATTCCACAGTAACATTCAAGGAAATAAAAACCTTTCTCTTACCTTTTCTGCATCTTGCTCGAAAAGTCGCAGTTGAAAGCATTGGTCCAGTTTCAATTTACGGACATGCCACATCTGATGCAAGTGTTGCCGTGTTGAATGCAGCTTGTCCAAAAGGCTGGTGATCTTTGGCACAAGACTCTGGAAATCTGCACTCCCTGGAATGCAGTTCCTACCAGAAAAACCATCACTACACCTTATGCACTGTAATAATCTCTGACCCTCGTGGTCCAATTCTTCTACAGGAGCTTTAATCACTTTCTTCTTGAGCTGTGTGTGTTCATCTATTAGTCTTCTTGAGCCCTCCACATCCACAGGAAATTCCTTCCTAGCCAGCATTTCTTGAAGGTCCTCTAATCTGGATAACAAATGAATGGCGCTGTTAAAAAATTCTTCCAAGGAGACCCTCAGCTCTATCCATTCATCATGATTGTAATCCAAGGTCCCTTCAAACTCCTCTGTTAGTTGGGAGGGATCCACCAGTTTTGCTAGTCCTTCTACTGAGACCATGCTCGTCTAAGACAGAAACAAAAAGATATTGAAATGTATTTCAGGGAAATAAATAGAAATGCTATAATACTGCAATTCAAAAATTATAATTAACTATCTGTTTAGGAGGCAGTGTCTTGGGGAGCAGGAAAGAACATAACCTCTGTAGCAAGGATCATCTTTGTCACCTCAGCTCATGACGGTAATGGTAGAATATTATTCTTCAGAAATGTGACACAGAGTAGAGGCAAGAACATCATATGAACTACAATCCGGCCATCTGTTTCAAAAGTGAAAGGAAAACAAGGGCCTTACTCCCAAAAATGTTGGGAGTAAGGACAGGATGTATGTTATGGCAATAGAATAGTAGCACCAGAAATTTTAAAAAGCCAGCAGTAAATGAAACATTGGCCTTGCTCCACTGCACCATCTTTGGGCTATGATCCCAGCACTACACCATGTAACATACTTCTAGAGGTATATTTCCTACTTTCTATCCTATATTGTGTCATTCACGACATCTACAGAATTCACTGAGTGAGGAAAGGATGAAAGAAACAGTGATAATCTTGGCACTCTATATAACTTCACACCACCATTACTACCTTACCATTTTAGACAGCGGATTTTTATGACAATTTGTACTGTACTTTTAGCAGGTAATTATTGCCTAAACTAGTGAGGTCCCACTGATTTCCCATTGATATGTCAAATAGGCATTTTATAATGCCTTTCACAACCAATTTCAGATACTGTATATGTTTATTTCCATTTTAGTATTAAGAGATTTTGGGGGACATCTGGATGGACTTAAAACACCACTAATACTGACTGCAAGCATTAATATCCATGACCAATGTTGACCTGACGTGGGTGGCACCTTGTGGATGACACAAATTCACATGGAGTTGAATGCACCCAAGCTTCCACAACATAGTATGTATTTCTTCATAGCTTCTCAAGCTGTTATAGTCTACATTCTTGTGAAAACATGCCTTCAGAAGTCAAGAAATGCTTTAGTCAAGATGGCCTATAGAGCTAGATGTGAAAGCAATATTTCCAACATCCAGCATCAATGTTCCCACCCAAAGTACTATTGGCCAAGAACACTATGTTAATGAAATGCTTTAAAATTTACACATTTCACTGAAAGAACTTTGGTGTATTGGGGACCACATCACCAATATCCTAATTTTGTTGTTTAGTCATTAAGACTTCATGACCCCATGGACCAGAGCACGCCATGCCCTCCTCTCTTCCACAGCCTCTCGGAGCTGGGTCAAATTCATGTTGGTAGCTTCGGTGACACTGTCCAGCCATCTCATCCTCTGTCATCCCCTTCTCCTCTTGCCTTCACATTTTCCCAACATCTGGGTCTTTTCCAGGGATTCTTCTCTTCTCATGAGATGGCCAAAGTATTGGAGCCTCAGCTCCAGGATCTGTCCTTCCCGTGAGCACTCTGGGCTGATTTCCTTCAAAATGGACAGGTTTGTTCTCCTTGCAAACCAGGGAACTCTCAAGAGCCTCCTCCAGCATCACAATTCAAAAGCATGAATTCTTTCGCGATTAGCCTTCTTTATGGTCCAGCTCTCACTTCCATACATTGCTACTGGAAAAACCATAGTTTTGACTATGCAGACCTTGGTCAGTAAGGTAATGTCTCTGCTTTTTAAGATTCTGTCTAGGTTTGTCGTCGCTTTCCTCCCAAGAAGCAGGCGTCTTTTAATTTCACGGCTGCTGTCACCATCTGCAGTGATCATGGAGCCCAGGACAGTAAACTCTGTAACTGTTTCCATATATTCCCATTCTATTTGCCAGGAGGTGATGGGATCAGTGGCCATGATCTTAGTTTTTTTTTATGTTGAGCTTCAGATCATTCTTTGCACTCTCCTCTTTCACCATCATTAAGAGGTTATTTAATTCCTCCTCACTTTCTGCAATCAGAGTGGTATCATCTGCATATCTGAGGTTATTGATATTTCTTCTGGCTATCTTAATTCTGGCTTGGGATTCATCCAGTCCAGCCTTTCACATGATATATTCTGCATGTAAGTTGAATAAGCAGGGGGACAATATATAGCCTTGTCGTACAATATAAAACCCACAACAACCAATATAAGCCTTGTCGTACTCCTTTCCCAATTTTGAACCAATCAATTGTTCCATATCCAGTTCTAACTGTTGCTTCCTGTCCCACATATAGATTTCTCAAAAGATAAATAAGGTGATCAGACATTCCCATTTCTTTAAAGACTTGCCATAGTTTGCTGTGGTCCACACAGTCAAAGGTTCTTGCACAGTCAATGAAGCAGAACTAGATGTTTTTCTGGAACTCTCTAGCTTTTTCCATAATCCAGCACATGTTAGCAACTTGGTCTCTAGTTCCTCTGCCCCTTTGAAATCCAGCTTGTACTTCT